TTCGCGCGCGGCGGCCCCTTCCGGCGCTACAGCAGCCTGTGCGGGCACGGCGGGGACGGCGGCCCCTTCTTCGGCCTGCACGCCAGCCCCGGCCCCAGGGCGGCCCCGGCGCGCTGCGCGTCGCCCAAGGGCAGCAAGTACGTGTTCTTCTACCTGGACCTCTCCTTCGTCTTCCTCCTAGAGCTGAAGCGTTGCAGCATGGCGCGCGGCTGCCTCCAGGGCGTCAAGTTCCTCATGTTCGCCTTCAACCTGCTCTTCTGGGTGAGTGGCGGCGGGCCCGGGGCGCCCGGGGCTGCGGCGCCGGCCCGGCCCGACTCTCAGCACGGTCCAGAGTCGCTGCTCCGGCAGGGATGGGGGGCGAGGCTCCAGGACGCAGACGGGCGGGGCGGGGTGGTGGCGGTGGCGGTGGCGTGCCCGGGGTCGCTGCTCCAGCGGGGGGCCCGGTGGACCGGCCCTTGGGGCGCGCTTCCGGTACCGCGGGGCTGTGGCCGAGGCTCTGCCCGCGTCCTCTCCCCCTCTTTCTGGGGCCGGACGTGTCCCGCACCTGCGCCCGCCTGCGCGCCGGGGTTCGCGTGCTGGTCGTGGCCGGCAGTGCGCTGGAGCTCCGGCGCTCCCCCTCCCTCCCCTCCCCATCTCTCCCTCCGCGCCGCCAGCCGGCGTCCTTTCTTCGACCCCCCTCGCCCTCCCAGTGGAGTAACCCACCAGGCCTAAGGACTGTGGTCGCCGAGGGGCTGTTGGGGGCCCGGTGGTCCCCCCCCCCAAGTCTCTGCAGGTGCTGTGGGAAGGGAGAGGGGGTGTGTGCGCTTGGGTGAGTTCCCTGGCTGGGGCTGACTCTGAACGGGATGCTGGGCCACCCACCGTGAGTGCTGGGGAGGTGTCTGGCCTCCCTGCTGGCTCTTCCTCCTACGCGGTGTGCATGTGTGTGGGCTGGTGCCCAGAACTTTTGCTGAATGGGTTGGGTTTGCTCAGACGGGATGTGTGGGCCCAGGGTCAGAGGCGATGGTGCCACAGGGTGGCCCCTTCCTCCTCCAGAGGAGAGTAGGCACGATGACGGAGTTGACAAAATTGCCACCCGGCCCCAGCCCCAGCCCCATAATGGTTGGGAGCATGGTGGGTTCTGGCTGTGACAGGTGTCCCACCCGACCAGGCTGGGGTCCCCTGGCTGGGCTACCCGAGGCTTGGTGGAGGGAGGATGCCAAGGTCACTCTCTGCTCCATGGTGAATTGTTGAGCCGGCCCTCCTTCCCACAGCTAGCAGGAAGGGGGTGTGGCGTTAGCTGCAGCCTGGACCCCACGAGGCGAGGCGGCTGTCCTGCACACGCTCATTTACACGCAGTCCCGTTAAGGCCAAATGCCCAGAATCCCGGGTCCGTCTTTCTTCACCTCCCTTCCATCCTGGGCTGTAGTTTTCTCTTCCCAGCTTGTGGAGGGGGGCCATCAGGGGTCGCTGGGAGGCAGGGGCAGCCACCCGGGCTGCATGCGGGGTGAGACCCAAGGCTCCGGGCCCAGATGCCCGCTTCGAGGTGGCCGCCCCGAGGGCTTGCTCTCTCTCTACAAGGGGATCCTGGGAGCGATGAGGCCCAGGTCTGGGGTGAAGTACCCCTGAGGCCAGCAGCCAGGAAGGAGGTGTTGGCGGCGGGAGCTCGGGCCCAGGCGTGTGTGTGTGGAGGGGCGAACATCTTGGTGCGGGGTGTTGACCAGCTGCAGCGGGCGCCCGTGTGGAGTGGCTGGCAGGGTCGGCACGTCCAGGGCAACCTGATGGGAGATACCGCAGGTGACCAGATCTGACCGTGGTGACCGTGTAGTTGGTGGACTGACTGGAGGGAGCGGCGGTGGGGGGTGGGATGGGGGACAGAGATAGTCTGGTCCCGGGAGGTAGGCAAGACTTGGCTTTGTCCCTGGTCTGCCATCCTCGGTGGTCTGAGAGCTGCCCACCCTAACGGGTCCCCAGGCAGAGCTGTGTCTGCCCTGTGTGTGATCCCTAAAGGAGGGACCGTACTGGCTGCAGGACAGACATGCTTCGCCAGTCCCTGCCATGGATGACGTCCTCAACCTGGAAACGAGTAAATCAGAAACCCCTTTGGGACCCCCTCCTGGGCTGGAAAATCCAATTCCCTTTTATTATACAATTATAGCTCACTGCCCAGCAAACTGGGCCCCTGCTGCTGGCATGTGCCCCTCCCTGTGCCAGTGTGGTGCCCAGACAGGGTCTGAGACCAGTGGGTCAGGAAGGGCATCCGGGCCTGCCCACAGTGCACAGGAAGCACCCAAGGTGAGGCGTGGTGAGAAGTCCGGAGTCTGGGTCCCTGTGAAGGTGCCACGTAAGTGCAGGTGGCCAGAGGCCGCAGCACCGCTTCCCCGGGACCCCAGCCCCTTGGCTACCTGGGGGTGCTGGCCCCTCAGCCCATTTCCCACGGTCACTGGGAGACCAGGGGACGGACCACACCGGCACCCACTGGAGCTCACTGTAAGATCAGGGCCCAGGTAGTGGGAGGGGCGTCCCCGGGGCAGGACCTCAAGATGCTCACCTGTGCCGGTCCTGACCTCACCCTGCAGAGCCCCACCGGTGCTCTGAGGATGGGGAAGGGACTGGCTCGGGAGACGCTTGGCCTAAGCGTTTTACTTAAGACTTAAGACCCTTTTTTACTTAAGACTCTTGTTCATGTGCCGGG